TGTCTCTGCTGAACAAATTTGTTTCTTCATTCTGCTTTTCAGAATGAAAATCTTCTTTAGCTTAGATCTATAATTTCATGCAAGACCCCCAATCCTCTGCTTCTTTCTGGACAGTTCTTTCTAGACTCTGCAGTGGCAAATTCCAGGATTTCTATCTTTTCACTTCTTTTCTCCTCTTTTATCGTCCAGATTTAATGGATTACATATGTGTGTTGGTGTTCCCTTCATTTCGTTGATGTATTTGCATATTGAATTATTTCTTATATTAGCTGTACAAGAATAATATGTTTAGACTCCTAAAAAAGATGAAAACATTGGTTTGCATACCCATCTCTGACTTGCTTTCTAACTTGTTATGCTATTTGATTTTTGCAAAGGTTTACATTTTTGTTGTAATCTAAAAACTTTTGAAAATTTTTTGTTTTAATTTTAATCCAATATTAAAATGAATTTCACATACCCCAACAGTCCTTTGTCTGGGTTTCTTCCATTGGACACTAGGTCTCGCTAAAATGTGTCTTTGTGTAGTTTGTGAAAGGCTCCCAAGAACCACATTTCCATGGTCTTTGCATATTCAAAAGCATTGTGCTGTACTTAAACTTGGATGATCACCGAAGGACAGATTTCATGGCTCATGACTTCTTTCTTTTTGAAGATTTTAAAGGCTTTGCCCCACCCACCCCACTCTGGTTTCTAGAATTGAATTCAGCTATAGAGAAGTCTGAGGTCGCTCTATTTTCTCCTTCTGGGTAGAGTGACCACTCGGTCTTGTCCACCTGGGAAGAGTCTGGTTGAGACCTGCTGTCTCAGATTCCTGCTGTTAGCCCCTCCTCTCTTATCACAGCTTCCCTGAGTTAAACAATAAGTGATATGACCCAATTATAATGACTTCACTTTTGTTCATCTGGATAGCCAGGGACTTCTTGTCACCTTAACTTAAATTTAACTCCATCATTAGTAAAACCAGAACTTCTCCAAAGTGTATTTACAAAGTATCAGATTGGAAAGATGCTTGTATTAAAGTGTCAAGTGCTAAAAGCAGGAGGCTTACACAATGGGTATAACCATGTTTTTAAAAACATTCATAGAAAGTTTAACATTTGTAACAAGGTGTTGGAACAAAGGGTGTGAAATAAAAGATTCTTCAGGCTCCCAAGGGAAGACACAAGCCTAGGGATTAGGAAAATATTTCCTGGAGACTGATCTAAAGGAGTGAGTAAAAATAAACCCAGGGGCCGGGCATGGTGGCTCACACCTGTAATCCCAGAGGCTCAGGAGGCTGAGACAAGGAGGATCTTGAGTTCAAAGCCAGCCTCAGCAAAAGTGAGGCTTGCCAAGCAACTCAGTGAGACCCTGCTTCTAAAGAAAATACAAAATAGGGCCAGGGATATGACTCAGTGGTCAAGTACCCCTGAGTTCAATTCCCAGTACCCCCAATAAATAAATAAATAAGCCCAGGGAAGATGAGTTGGATACCCATTCCAGGCTGGGAAGTAAGGAAACAGGAAATGTGAAGCTCCTGGTTGCCTTAGATTCTCAATGTTCTCTTTCTTCCTCTCTCTCCAGGAAGTCTGCCATAATTATTGTTGGTATAGCTAACATGGATCACAGAAATATTGCTCACACAGAGTATCCAGTCGATACCATCATCATCCATGAGGACTTTGATAACCACTCAATGAGCAATAACATAGCCCTCCTGAGGACAGACTCGGCCATGCATTTTGACGACCTGGTCCAGTCCATCTGCTTCCTGGACAGAAAGCTGCATAAGCCACCAGCCTTGCAGAACTGCTGGGTGTCAGGATGGAATCCCACGTCTGCAGTTAATGCAATCCTTCTCCTAGAGGAGGCTGTGTGTGTGTGCTGGCAGTGGGGTGACTCAGATGAACTGTTCTAGGGCTTATTGTAATAATTCAGGCTATTTGAAGTTCTGGAGTTGGGCTGGAACCCTCACCCAATCATGGAATCTCTATATTACATGGGTCCTTTTTCCTCTAGGCCTATACCCAAACTGGAAGTACAGAGGTAGTGGACAGCCTGAGATGTGCACAAGGTTATGGGGGGTAGGGAGTGGGGGGTGGGGATATTATTCCCTAGACTAAAGCTGACTGTCCAGCCATCCCTGGAAAAGAAACAAGGGAATAGACATTCTCTAGATGTGGAGGAAGGGTGCATTGTTCTCTGCCTGTTTACACATTCAAGTCCAGAACAATGACAAAAACTTACACATAGGTTCTGGTTTCTAGAAAGAAAAGGGATTTATGGGCACATCTACCTGTTGTCATTTGGATATGTGAGTTGCAGCTGCACTGACACAGGGGACTGCCTTCTTCTTAATAATTCTTGGGCTCTCTGTTGCATGGTCCAGACAGGAAATCACATGACAATGAGTATCCTGAGGAGAATCTCCGTGAAAGACATTGACCTGTGTCCCTTACACCTACTCCAGAAAACAGGATGCGGCAGTCACACACAACGGGAAACCGAAGCCGTCTGCTTGGTAAGAATGATAAAGTAGAACCTAATTCTTGAGACTGAGCCTTGGGTACGTCCAGGAGGGACTAGAGGCTCCTCCTCCCTGCATGGGAACCTCCGTGAGGGCATGCCTTGGGATTCAAGGCTATCACCGGAAGGAACAGCATCGGGCAGATGGCTCAACACAAATCTGCTGAATGAACAAACCAGTTCCCATGTTCAGTGTGGCATGATTAAGCATGTCTAAGTCACAGATTTTTAAATGGGCTGAAAATCGGTGCCGAACTCCACATGCAGATATATCTGAGCAGGTCTGTAGGAGAGGAGTCATTGAAACCAGCCTGTGTGGAATCTAGACTCTCCTCTAGTGCTGGTGAATGTCAGATATTGGGGTTTTCTTCTGTGAGAAGCCCTTCCCTCCCCCCATACGAGGGCTGTACAGATAGGCCCTTCCTGCAGAGTTGCTCTTTCTTCTCTTTACTCTCACCTCTCTTCTGGAGTGACTTCCTCAGGAAAAGGGAGGCTTATTGAAGGAGGATACCCCAAACAGACCAAACACCCTGGCCTCACCCTGGGAGGGGGCCGCAGTGGCCGCTCTTCTGCCTCTCTGCTTCTCGTGGATGAATCTGCTCCTTTTGTCAGACACTCGGGGTCTGCCTGTGTTCAAACAGTGAGAGCAACATTTCACTGCCTGCTCTTCCAGCCAGGCAGGCCTCACTGGTCCAATTTGGCTGAGTAGCCATTGGAGGACAGCCCTCTTCGGAGACCTAAGATGGACCATGGGCTAGAGGTGGGTGTGGGACATTCCTTTAAGAGGAGGCCTGGAGTGGAGAGTGGGTGGGACAAGTAAATCATGCCTAGTAATGGTCTTGTTGCTTTTCCCATTTTTCTCAACTGTTTGTAGAAAACTGGTGGCCTTTTATAGACATCAAGATGATAGAGAGTGCATCCTGTGTGCACGGTACCATGGTGCTTTGCATGTGTTAGAGGCATTTACTGTGTCCCCACTTGGGCTCAGAGAGAACCTCGTTACTTGGCTAGGGTGGGGAAATCTGGGAGGCTAACCCAGTGGGCATTCCCTGGGGGCTCTGCCCTCACTCTCTAGACATTCCCTTTGGGATTGCATTTGGAAAGGAGCAGCTTAGGTGAAAGATGGGAGCAAGCTAGGGAGGAGAAGGGGAATAGCATGCAGTAAAGCCAGAAAGGAGAGTAAGTAATACCAATATTTGAGGAATGAGAAGCCCAAAGAGGGAAGATGTAGTCAAAGTACTTAGGACATGAAAGGGACAAGAAAATGCAGTATGAACCAGGAAACTTCAGGCAATCATAGGAGTCCACAAATAATTCGCATAATAAAAGGAAAATCATGTTGGAATTTGTGGTGGTGGCTGTGTAGATTTGAAATAGTATCCTACAATCTGCCTTATTTCCAGGGAGAACCCGTGTAAAACATTTCTAGAAAAAACAGCACAAGGATCTATTAAAAAAAGAAAACATGTTTTTCTAAGACCTGAAGCCTTCTGTCCTTTGTCGCAGGGGGAAGCAGGAAGCCCCATGATGTGCCAGCTACAGCAGTTGGATCTGTGGATCCTGAGAGGAATCCTGACCCAAGGTGGAGATACATGCCCAGGCATCTTTATATACACCAGGGTGGAAGATTACAGCGACTGGATCATGTCCATGACTACCAGGAATGACCATCCCCTGTTCTCACTCCAACACTGGGACAATTTTATACCTCGTCCCTCTTTCGAAGAGCACGCTGCCGTGACACGGAGCACACATTCTGAAGTGAGCCACAGGAGCACACATTCTGAAGTGAGCCACACCAGACGGTCCCAAACCTCCTTCCAAGAACAAAGTAGTTCCACTATGACTTCACAGCTGACGAACAGCACTAGAGATGAGCTAGACTTTAGGGAAAAGGGTCTCCGGGAATCGGGCAGATCTTCGGAGGCGGCCCTTCAACCTATGTACTATGACTATTACGGTGGGGAGGCTGGGGAGGGGGGGTCTTTTGCAGGTCAGAACAGGTTACATCAGCCCCAAGAAATCATCTTGGTTTTCTTCGTGCTTGTTTTCTTTGGCAGTGGTGTCTAGTCTAAGGGGAGCTAATCCACCAAACTGAAGAGGAAGCTCAGGATGCCACGTGCCAGGCATTCGCCATGATGCTGGGGTGTCTGTTTTTGATAGTTGCACACCTGAGCTGCCACGGACGGCCCCACAGCACACGCTGGGCTGGCTCTCCCTCCTCTGTCCCACTCCCACATGCGGAAAGGTCACTTTCATTTGTGCTTGTGAACTAAACATGGGCTAACAAGTGTCAAACCGTTAGCGTGCCCTGTGGTTCTTTCAGTGACAATGGTTCCAGGGGCCAGGCGGTGAAGACTCCCCGTGGGCAGATGTAGCCTGGGAGGTGATGGTCAGCCTGGCTGGGGAGTTGGGGACACCAGTGAGAGGACCCTGTGACTAGAAGAGAGGGGAGTGCTTTAATGGATCATTTCTTGGTCAGCCATCCGTGCTCCTGCCCCTAGCTATTTCCCAGGAGAGCCAATTGCTTGCAATTCCTCGTTGCTTGCCTTTATTTTATCCCAAGCCTTGCGGTAGCCTTTCAGGGACATCTGCAAAATGGCAAAAGGGGAGGGGAAGAAGGTCAGTTGGGGAAATCTGAGTGCCTATACCTAATGGGGCACTCATCCAGCCTTGCTGCAAATGTGGGCCACCTGTAGGGGGCAGCATTCTGCCCTGCAGCATGCCACCAAGGGGAAGTGGCCATCAGGAGATCCTTCTAGGGAGCCTGAGGAGTTGTAGATTCCGGCTGGAGTCTGGGGGGCCCAAGTTTGAATCCTAATTTTCTCCCTGCCACCAAGTGACCAGGGAAAAGGCAGGAGAAAGGAACAAGGGAAGTGGAGTGAGGTCCTAGACATGAAGACACCAAGCCCCCAGTTTTCCAAGCGGCCTGCCCTGGAAGCTATTTAAATGATGTCTTCCAAAGTGGCCTTGGTTTGCATCCTGGCTGTGGCAGTCTTGACACCAATACAGTGTCTTTACGTTGCCCATTTCTCTTCCACAGCTCACAGGGAGCCAGGGCACTTCCTGGGCACACAGGACCATATTCAAAGGCTGTGGGATTAGTTTAAGACAAAGGCCCACGGTAACTCTGTCAATGTATGGAACTGGGTTCTGAGTGATATTAAAAATCCATTGTTATCTCATTTTTTAAAAACTGGCTTCTCCATGTATAAAGTAGCAACCACCAAATTACCTATGGTGTGGAGGGATTCAGAAGCTTCTAGAATTCACTAAGAAAACAACTCCCTTGGAGCAGGTGGTGCATGCCTGTAATCCCAGTAACTCAGGGAACTGAGGCAAGAGGATTCAAGTTAGGGGCCAGCCTCAGTAACTTAGCAAGACCCTGTCTCAATACAAAAAATAAAAAGGGCTGGGGATGTAACTAGGAAGCAAGGAAGGGAGGGAGGGATGGAGGGAAGAAAAGAAAGAAAAGGAAAACAAGCAAATAAAAACACTTGATTGCGGGATGTGGTGGCGCATGCCTGTAATCCCAGCCGTTTGGGAGGCTGAGGCAGGAGGATCATGAGTTCAAAGCCAGCCTCAGCAACTTAGCAAGGCACTTGGCAACTCAGTGAGACCCTGTCTCTAAAATAAAATATAAAAAAGGGCTGAGGATGTGGCTCAGTGGTTGAGCACCACTGGGTTCAATCCTCGGTACCAAAAAAAAAAAAAAAAAACCCAAACACTTTATTACTACAGAGTGTCTCCCTGATACCTAAAAATACTGTGTCCCTAATGGTGAAAAAGGAACTGATTTTTTAAATCATCCTTCATTTTGGTTTAATAGTTGAAGCAACTGCTGAGATTTCTCACAGATGTAGCCCACCCAAACATCCATAGTCTTAGCCCCCAAAACAAAATCCTAAACAAAATGTCACAGGTATGAAAGACTGACAACCCCACGGAAATGTGGAGTCCCAGCCCACGGGGCTCTCAGGGGCTCACCTCTGCAATTTCCACTTTCCTTTCCCACATCTTGATGGTCTTCTCCATCTCCACATTGAGGATCTTCTCCCGGAGGTACACCATCACCTGTGGCGCCCGGAACTCGGCCAGTTGCTTCCGCAACTTCTTGTTGGCAGCCTCAGCTTTGGCCCTATCCTGGGTTGGAAAGGACCAATTACCCCAGGGAATCCTGGTGGCTTCTCCTCTGAGGACTTGCTGGCCCTGCCATCTCTCCCCACAGGCTCCATGTAATTCAAATGATAACGGTTCCATATTCAGTGGGCGGGGAAATCATGAAGTTCTGCTGAGTTTTTTTGTTTTGGGTTTTGTTTTGTTTTGTTTTTAACAGATTGGGATATCTTAATCCAGTTCAGAAATACTAATCTTCTTTCCCTTCATTTCCCCTTTTTTCTTTTCTTTCTCTCCTTTATTAAGGAATTCTTAATTTTGTGTGTATGTGAAAAAATGTGTATTGAAGTACACTTTATCAGTCTCAATTCACTTTCCTGTCTTCTTTTATTGTAAAATACATATAAAATTTGCCATTCAGCGGCATTACATAGACTCACACTGTTGTGTGACTTCTCCACTATCCATCTCCACAACTTTTCCGTCTTGTCAAACTGAGACTCTGCTCACTAAACACTAATTCACCATTTCCTCCTACCTTCACCCCTTGGTTACCACCAATCTTCCTGTCTCCATGATTCAGACTACTGTAGGTCCTCCCTCTAAATGGAATCATACAATATTTGTGCTTTTGTGACTGGTTCATTTCACTTAACATAATGTCTTTGAGATTCATCCACAGTATAGCATGTATCAGAACGTCCTTCCTTTTTTTTTTTTTTTGGTACTAGGGATTGAACTCAGGGCACTTGACCACTGAGCCACATCCCCAGCCCTATTTTGTATTTTATTTAGAGTCAGAGCCTCACTGAGTTCTTAGCACCTCACCATTTCTGGGGCTGGCTTTTAACTCACGATCCTCCTGCCTCAGCCTCCCAAGCAACTGGGATTATAGGCATGTGCCACTGCACCCAGCATGTCCTTCCGTTTTAAGGCTGACTTTTTTTTTTTTGTACTGGGAATTGAGTCTAGGGGTGCTTTACTACTGAGCTCCTTCTCCAGTCCTTTTAGTTTTTTATTTCGAGGAAGGGTCTTGTTGTCAAGGATCTTGCTAGTTGCTGAGGTTGGCCTCAAACTTGTGAAAATCCTAATTCAGTCTCCCAAATCACTAGGACTACAGATGTGTACCACCCTGCCCAGCAGAGTTAGAGAAAGAAACCACTAAGAAGAGCCCTCTTGCCAGAACTATACTTCCAGCTTCTTGGAAGCTGAGGCAGGAAGATCCACAAGTTTGAAGCCAACTTGGGCAAATCAGTGAGAACCTAACTCAAAATAAAAATTTAAGAAGGGCTGGGGATATAGCTCAGTGGTTGAGTGCTTGCCTAGCGTGTGCAAGGCCCTGGGTTCAATCCTCAGCACCACAGTGTCACACACACATAAACAAAAAGAAAAATCCTCTTGAGGTTTGGGCAAGCTTCAAAGACTAGCAACACCTTGCCCCTGCAAAGGGCCCTGACTTTAATTGGATTAGGATGTGATCAATTGATGTCTTGGGGTGTTGTTGAAAGCAATAGAGAAATTGGGTAGCAATTAATAAAGATTAATAGCTAGGTTTGATGCCAATTGAGGCAGCCAGAAGTTTGGCAGAAAGATGAAAAACCAAAGAGAACTCAGCTGAAACAGAAATCAACTCTGTTGTCAGGGAGACTGTATCAAGACCAAGGCTGCACCCTCTGAGAACAACATCAGAGGACACTAATAGCAAGGGAAACAGCAAACTCCTGACCTAGTCTAACCAAGTCAGTAAATGATGACAAGCCAAGAAAGGAGGACAGGGATTACCCAAAGTCACCATATCATCTAAAATGTATGCTTTTAACAAAAATTATGAGATAGACAAAGAAATAGGGAAGTGCAACCCACACAGGGAAAGAAGCAGGCAACATAAACTGTTTTTGGGAAGTCCAGATGGTGGACTTAGCTGATGATCTTCAAAGCAGCTATTCAAAGAACCAAAGTAAATCATGTTTGAGGACTTAAAGGAATACATGTTGATAATGCCTCATCAAGTAGAGAATATCAATTAAAAGATTATTTAAAGAGAACCAAATGGAAAATTGGTTTTTAATATAATTGAAATTTTAATATTTATTAATATAATTGAAAGTAGAATTTCACCACAAGGGAATCAACAGTAAAATATAAGCCATAAGAAAAAAAGAATTTGGGGCTGGGGTTGTGGCTTGGTGGTAGAGTGCTTGCCTTGCATGCATGAGGCACTGGGTTCAATTTCCAGCACCACATAAAAAACTAAATAAAATAAAGGTATTATGTCCATCTACAACTAAAAAATTATTTTTAAAAAATCAGTAATCTTGAAAGTAGATTGATAGAGATTATGCAATATGAAAATCAGGGATAAAAAAGAACAAATTAACTGAATGTCAAAAAATGTGGATGTACATGCAATGAGAGTGACAGAACAAGAGAAGGAGAAAGGAACAGAAAAAAATATATATATTCACTTGATGGCTGAAATCTTCCCAGATTTGATTTTAAAATTATACACCCAAAGAACACCTCCAAGTATGGTAAACACAAAGAAATCCACACAAGGCAAAGAGATTGTTCAAAACAACAAGAGAAAACAATTCACCCTGTATAAGATGAAAGAAAGCCTAAGGAGATTAACAGCAGACTTTCATGTGAGATAATGGAGACTAGATGGCAATGGGATGAAACGTGCTGAAAGGAGAAAGAAAAAAATGACTCTTACCACAAGTCTTATATCCAGCAAAAACGGTTTTTCAATAATAAAAGCAAACAACTGAGCACACAAAGATCTTGATTTCTGATGCCATTCTTGAAAGGACTCAGGACTTCTTTGTGGAGGGGTGGTTGATTTGGGGGCTGGAGCAGGAATCCCAAGATGAACCTAGAGACTCTTGTAGTGCCAGGAAGATGGCACTTCATATCTCTTCATATGTTTTTTAAATGAAGAAGTAATTAAAACATTCCCAAATAAGCAAAAACCCAGAGAATTCATTAATAGCAGACATGCCTTATGAGAAATGGTAAAGGAAGTTCTTCAGGCTGAAAATAAGTAACACTAGATGGTAGTGATTCAGAATTCACATGTTTTTAAAAAATAAAGTTTTAAAAAATGTAGGTAATTATAAAATATAATATTATTGCATATTTCTTCTCTTAACTGATTTGAATAGCAAGTGAATAGAATAATACATGTGTATTAAAGAGGGTCTATAACATAAAAATGTAACGTATTTGATGGTAACAGCATAAAGAAGGCAGGTTGAAACAAAACTGTAATTGATTAAGAAAGTTACAGCAGATGGTAATTCAGATCCACAGGAAGAAATGGAGAAAAATACAAGAGGACCAAAAAAAGCTATTATAACAAAATCTGTGAACAAACTTTATCTTCTTTCTTTTTTTTTTCAGTTTTGAACCCTTTCCTTACACTGTTTAAAAAATTAACTCCAAATGGATCATAAACCTAAATATAAGAACTAAAAGTATAAAACTCTTGAAGAAAGTGTAGAGGCAAATCTCTATGACATAGCATTAGGCAAAGGATTCTTAGATATGACACCAAAGAACAAGTGTAAAAGAAAAAAAATGGACTTCACCAAAATTAAAACTTTTGTGTGTTGTAAACGATAATACCATTAAAAAAGAATGGGAGAAAATATTTGCAAATCATATATCTGATAAGAGGCTGAGTCCAGAATAGATAAGAGTCTCATAACTCAAGGATAAAAAATAAATAACCCAATTAAAAACTGAGCAAAGGACATGAGTATATATTTCTCCAAAAAAAGGGATAGACATGTGACCAAAGATGCTCCTCATTAGAGAAATTCAAGTAAAATCACATTGAGATACTATTACACACCAATGGCAATGACCAATAAATTTTTTTTAAAATGACAAGTGTTGATGAAAATGTACAGAAATTGGAAGACTCACACATTGCTGATAGGACTATAAAATGGTGTAACCACTTTGCAAAACAATTTGGCAGTTTCCCTAAATGTTAAACATAGAGTTACCACATATAACTCATGGTCTCCTTTGAGGTATATGTCCAAGAGAAAAGAAGACACATAGTCACATAAAAACCTGTTCAAGATCCAGCATTATTCATCTTTGCCAAAAAGTAGAAACCCAAATATCCATCAACTGATGAATGGAAAAATAAAATGTGGTCTATCCACACAACAGAATATCATTTATCCATAAAAAGAAACAAAGTATTAGTGCATGCTACAAGGTGAACTTTGAAAATATTATTCCATGTTAAAAAATCCAGACATGAAAGACCACATATTTTATGACCCCTTTTTTATGAAATGTCCAGAACAGGAAAATCTGAAGGATAGGAAGTAGATTAGTAGTTTTCTGGCTGGAGAGTGAAAATGAGGTAATGTAGGGAGGAGAGGACTTATAATAGATGCAGGGCTTCTTCTTGGGGTGATGAAAACATCATTGCTGATAGTTAACATAATTCCTGAATACACCATAAACCTTTGAACTATATACTTAAATGGGTGAGATGGGTGAATGATATGGTATGTGGTTTATATCTCAATAAAACTGGTTTCAAAAAGTTAACAAACAGAATCCCGGGCATTTAAATACACTAAGTAGTGAATGGTAGGCTTTTAAAAGTCAATTTTAAGTTTCACTTGTTATCTAATCACTATCAACCCCGGGAGAAAACAAGTAAGTGGCACAAAAATCCTTCACGGAGTAAGAACACTGGCTTCTGCTTCAGCTTTGTCACCTGTCACACTGTATTGAGGCTGGGACTTTTGCAGAGAGGGTTGATTCTCCATTGAGGCTACTATTAAGGTTTGGATCTAGAATGTCCCTCACAAGTTTGTGTGTTGAAAAGGTCCCTGATGCAGTAAGGTTCAGAGGTGAGGATATTAGGCAACGATTGGATCATGAGGGCTCTGACCTCATCAGTGGGTTAATCAAATGGATTAATCCATTGATATGTGGGTGAACCAATGGGAGGTAGGACCTCGGTGAAGTAGGATACAGGGGGTGTGCCCTGGAAGGATTTATCTCATCCCTAATCTCTTCCTCTCTCTCTCTCTCTCTCTCTCTCTCTCTCTCTCTCTCTCTCTCTCTCTCTCTCTCCTTCCTGGCTGCCATGAACTGACAGCCCTACTCCACCAGCCCTTCCACCATGATGTTTCTGCCTTGGAGCCAGCTGACCATGGACGGAATCCATTGTAACCATGAGCCAAAAGAAATATTTCCTTCTCTAAGTTGTTCCCGTCAGTATTTTGGTCACAATGACAACCTGACTGATGTAAATATGATGTGGATGGCATGACAAAACTGAGTCACAAGTAACCCTGTGGGCCACTGGGGGCAGGTTTGGGGCCACACTGATGGGCACACTTCAGACCTACTCAAGACAACAACACTAATTGTACTAATGGCTTTCGAGTTGACAAAGCATCATTATGTGTGGTCTCACCTGATTGCCACAACAAGAGCTGTGACCTCTATGTTACATTTTGAAAACCGGCCTGCCTCATTTGAAGTCTTATCCATATGGGAGAGAGATATATACAGCTCAGTGTTAGAGTGCTTGCCTAGCATATATGAGGCCCTGGATTAGATCCCCAGCAGTACCAGAAATTAAAAAAATAATTAAGTAAAGGTTTATTCAAGACCAGAAGCTGGCAGCATGAAACCCAAGGCCAGGCCATTTAACTGGTGTCCAGTGCTCTTTTTCTCTCATCCTTCCCAAAAGCTCTCTTCCTATGTGTAGCTGAGTCACATCTTGTGTGCATTAAAGTTACAAAAATTCAGCTCCATGTGCTCAGAAAATAATGCAAGAGATAACTTGCAGGCCAGATATGTAGGGAGGTCAGCTGATCCCTCTCACCTTTCCACACAGTGACCACAGGTTCTGGAGTGAGCCTGGGGCTGAGGTCATAGGTCTGCCATCCTTCACAGATAGGCAGTGCACCGAGGAACCAAGGTCAGTGCCACCGCTGCACCAAGAAATAGTTATTTTTAAAAGAGCATTCTCTCTCTCTCTCTCTCTCTCTCTCTTATTCAAAACATCATATGTTGTCAGGTGTACTTTTATCATATCAGTTATATGACCACGTTGTATACATTTTCTATATGCTCGCAGGACAAAACTTTGAATATCGTATTTTACGGATGTGTTATGTGGACTCTGTGAGATTTTTAATTCACCCTGGACCCTCACTCCACAGTAAATGTAACATTCCTGGGCTGTAAGTCCACCTTCTGCTTTGATGGCTAAGAGCTCTTTTGATTTTTCTGGTCTAGGCTTCCCCAGATACGTAACCAAGCACCTTGGATTTGGGTGGACATTCACACAAATCCTCGCAGACAAGAGACAAACGCCAGAAACGTCTCGCCCTCTCCTACCTCCTCTACTTGTATGGTTTCTTTATCAATTTTTTCAAGAAGCTCTTTTCTCAGCAAGATCTCCTTGCCCAGACAGATGAACATTTCCACCGCTCGGTGAAGCTTGCTCTGAAACACAACAACACAGGGAGTCTTGAGCTGAGAGGCCTCTCAAAACGGCGGGAGGGTAGACAGCAGAAAAACAGGACCGTCCAGGAACTCGGGCTTGCCCTTCTCACGGGTGCCCAGGTTTTCAGAGACCTCGAGTCTGAGAACTGGCAGGGGAGGAGAGATGGACAGTGGTTGGAGACACCAGAATCCACTGTTTACTAAGGGACGCTTTGTACAAGTCCCAGACCCCTCTGAACTTGGTCCAGTCACCTTATATTTTGGCAAGGTTACAGGTTCCTGGTAGAGAGCTGGGCACACAGTGCCTGGCATACGGAGGACATTGGACAAATAGTTGTCATGACTACCTGGTGAGGATGGAGAGGGAGAGGTACTCCACAGGAAGTGGGTGCTACCATTATCTCCAGTTAAGTCACTGAAGCAATTTGCCCAAGATCACAGAGATGGGGAAGGAAGGATTTGAATCCAAGCAGTGTGATCCCATGGGCTCCATCTACCATGATGCTGGGGGGGCGGAGGGATCCTGCAAAGCTCCCTCAAAGGTTCCCATTTCATCACTTGCTCTTCACCAGCTCCCTGAGGTCCCTGCTTCTCAGACTAGTACCCCTGTGGGTACTGTCCCCCAGGGGGAAGTCAACCAGAATAGGTGAGATATGCTTTGCCTGGCTGAGGAGTGGGTCAAGGGAAGGAGCCAGGACTTTCCAGGTGCTTCTCAACAAACCCACACCCACCCACCCTGTCCCAGACACTGTTTAGGGTAGCCAGCCAGGTCCTGCCTCTGGGAGGCCGGCTCAGAGATCTGGAGGCAGTCAAATAAATGCAACAAGAAACAGCAGACAGGACAGGGTCAGGGAAGGTTGTCTGGGGAAGGAATGCTGGAGAGACAGCTGAACTGGGGACAGCTGCAGAAAGAGGGAAGAGAGCAACAATCCAAGCTGAGGAAAGAGCCTGGGGAAGAGGTGCAGAAAGAACTGGGAGAGGAGAGGAGAGAGCAGCAGAGTCCCACAGTGGAGGCAGAGCGGGGCTGGGCAGGGGTGCTGCTCCGGGGGGTCAAAACTTAGGCAAAGCAGAGCCAGAGCCCCCTGCCCGGGGGGGGGACCTTAGGCTCCGGAAGTCATTCTCTTCCCCACTCCTCATCTCTCCAGCCTGCACTCCTTTAAGGCTCATTTCCTGCTCCGCCTCCTGCACTTGAATAGGAGACCAGACTCAGGGGGTCAGCTTGGGCTGGGGGAGGCAGGACAAGACTCCACTGCAGGCCAGCCATTCAGGGGGACAGAAAGAGAGCAGAGGGAAGACATGTACCAGCGACTTAGAGGGTTAGGACAGAGTGGACCTGCAAGGGCCAAGGCAAGGCCAGGGCTGGCTCTGGTGGGGCAGGGTCTTCACAAAGTGTGGCAAGAGCTGGCGTCCAAGGCTCTGTTCAGATGCCGGTCACTTGAGGAGGCTGCCGCTGGAAAGGCTTCCAGAGCTTTCTATTGTGGTGTGGCCAATTACCATAGACTCGGAGGTTTAAAGCAACAGCTATCTGTTATCTCTCAGTTTATATGGGTCAGAAGTCTGGGCACAGGGTGGCTGCATTCTCTGCCCATGATCCCCACCAGATTGAAATCAAAGAGTGGCCAGGACTGTGATTCTCGTCTGGGGCTCAGGTTCTCTTCCAAGTTTACTCATTGTTGGAATAATGCACTTCCTTGAAGTTGGAGCATTGAGGTCCCCATTTTCTTTCTGGCTGCCAGCAGGAGGTCACTCTCAGCTCCTAGAGGCCTGGCTAAGTGCCCTTCCACATGGCCTCTCTATCTTCAAGCAGTAATGGAGAGAGTCTGGCCTAGGAAATTCCTCTGTGCTTCACGTATCTGACTCCTTGGCAGAGGAACTCTGCTTTCAACAGGATCATGTGATTGATCAGCCCCGACTGGATAACCTCCCCATCTTCAGGTCAAATGTGCCATCTGACATAACCAATGTAACAGGCAGAACCTCATGACCGAAGCTGTCACATTCACAGCCTTGGCTGGAATGAGAAGAGTGAATGCACCTGGGGGCAGGGTCTGGGGGACGTCTTAGCAGTCTACCTTCTCTAGGGCACCCAGTCACTAGTTCTGTCAGTCAAGAGTGACTTACTGCAGCCGAAAAGCCATTGGCTTGTGCTCTATCAGACACACCAGGCAGGTTCGAGGGCATAAAGTCACAGGAGAGTGATCATGATCTGATTCAGGATCACTCAGGAAAGTCACAGAAGAGACCTCATCTATCTTGTGCTGTCTAGGCACTAGACCCTTGGCATTGGATGTGCTTGGCAGAACGTAGGCCTTGGTACTTTTGATAATAGAGGGAAGTTATTCTGTGTGTTTTTAACAAGGTCCACTTTGGGGTCTTTGATATTTATTTCAAAGTGGCCCCTCCTGTTACCTGTCTTCCCCCCCCACACACACACAGCCAATACTGTCAAGTGAACTGCCTTCCCCGCCCCACGCTGCCCCCTGAATCTGGTCTCTTACTAACGTGCAGGATGTGCAGCAGGAAATGAGTCTTAAAGAAGTACAGCCTGAAGAGAGGAGGAGTGGGGAGGAGAATGACTTCCAGAGCTTAAAGTCCCCCCAGGCAGGGGGCTCTGGCTCTGCTTTGCCAGTTTTGACCCCCTGGAGCAACACCCCTGTACGGCCCTGCTCGGCCTCCACTTTGACTGTGACCGTGCTGCTCTCTCATCTCCAGCAGTTCATTTGATAATATTGGCTAAGCCCTTTCTCTGCGGGGGGACACAGCACAAACTACGCAAAATTCCATCCTGGGTGGTAAGGCACAAAAAACTTACATCTGACAGGTGAGGCGTCTTGCCCTGATGAAGCATCTCCCCCTGCAATCCCAGGTGAGGTCTGACCGACATTCACAGCTGTTCGGCCTCCATTTCCCCAGGAGAGCTGAAGTGGGTCATGGAGGAAGTGGGTTGGCTTGACCCTTGAACTGCTCGTGTCTACCTTTGGACTCCTGTGGGGCAGCTCCCCCAAGTTCCACCATCTGCTTGCCATCACATACAAGAGATCTATGGGCACAGTGGCCACTGAGCTTTGGACCAGAATGGCTCCTGTTGGGCCCCCGCTGGCCTGTGCGGCTGCTGCTCCTCTGGTGTTGCCACTGTCTGCACTGTGAGCTTAGATTCGACTTTACAGAGCTCAGGGCCTGCACCCTAGGCAGATTCGTTTTATAAAGCAGTAGCTCTACTTCCCAAATCCCAAGACCAGACAGGTCCTATGCTGGTTAAGTGATTCCACAGGATAAGATCCAGGTCCAATGTGACCTAACCACCTGTTAGCCAAGGTGGTCCGCAGCAAAGGCCTGGGAGGCCCAGGGACTGGCCTCATCTTGAAAGAACAGTGATCAGATACCAAGTGTGATGAGATAACCTAAAAGTTGGACGTTCGTGACACATGAACTTCAAAAGGCCGCCACAATGTTTTCTACATACTGTAACCCAGGAGAAGGCAGCTGGGGGGACACACACTGAGCTGGGCATCCTGGCTCTGCCACTAACTTGTGGCTTGAATCTGGCTAATACTCTGCATCTCGGAGACTCCGTGTTTTCCATTGTGAAAGAAAAATGTTGGACAAGCATCAGCCTGATCTAAACATATTCAAATTTACATTTTTAAATGACACTGTGTGGGCCAAATGAAGGCCACCTGTAAGCTACCTATCTAGGCTCACAGCCACCGCTGCCACCTGGGCACTAGGCCAGGAGTCAGCAAACTTTTTCTATAAAGGACCAGATAGTGAATGTTTTAGACTTCGTAGGCCCAGAGGCACAACAACCATAACTATTACATATTCACTTATATTAATAAGAGAAAAAACCCAAATCCTACAAATGTTTTATTGATGATCATATGTTTTATTGATAAAATTATAATTGAGTATGATATATTGGAATACGGGTCTACTAGGGAATAGAATGGAATTTCAAGAGAAGAAGTAATTTTGCCTAACCGGGTTTAATAGTTGTATTCTCTATCATCCAGTCAGTTGCAGATGTTCTATAAAAGCTACTCTTAGCTCACAGGACACTGGATGGAAATACATTGGCCCAGTTTGCTGACCACTACGTTAGGTGGTTGCTAGAAGGTAACCAGATGGCCTGGTCTACTGGGGACAGGTCCTATTCATGCCCAGAATCCCTGCTTAATTATTAATAGTGCCTTTTCTCTCCCAAAAGCATTGCATTTGGATGATAAATAATTTAGTAGTTTTCTGATTTTATAGCTAAGACTCTTTTCCTTTGCAGGGTTAGAAGCAGGGAAGTACTTACATTAAACAGGGCCCTAAATGCGGTGGTGTGTAAAGCTTTGTGTGTAAAATTTATCCCTATTTCACTTAGGGTAGGACTAGAACATTGGTTTATTTTTTAAAAAAATAAAATCTCACTGGATATAGTACTGTACGCCTATAATCTCAGAGGCTCGGGAGGCTGAAGCAGGAGGATTGCAAGTTCAAAGCCAGCCTTAGCAACTCAGAGACCCTGAGCAACTTAGTGAGACCCTGTCCAAAATTATATATATATAAAAGGCCTGGGGATGTGGTTCAGTGGTTAAGCAACCCTGGGTTCCATTCCTGGTACCCAAACAAAACAAAAGAAAACCCTCCCCACATGGTTCTCATGTGCAGCCAGGGTTGTGGGACCATTTGGATGCTGAAGTGTTGGGTTTGAACACTTTTTGAACATCCGGGGGCTGGAAATCTGGAAGCAGTAGGCCTGGTGGGGGTGCCCAGCACTGGGGTGGGCCTTACTTTGTATGCGTTGAGGATCTGCAGGGTATTTCCGGATGACAGTTTCAACTGGATCAGTTCTTGATTCCGTGCTTCAATCGTCTCTAAAAACTGAGCATTCTCAATCTTCAACTGCTGAAAATCAACGTCATGGAGCGCCTCGCCCACCTCTTCCTTCTACGGCTCAGAAAGAAGAAAAGACGTTATGTTCAGGTGTGACTTCACACCTGCAACTTGGTGAGACTTTGGAGGTCAGTTATCACTTAGTCATTCAATGAACATGTCCTGGACATCTGCTCGGTACCAGGCGTGGTGCTAGGAGCTGGGGATAGATTAGAGTAATTGCAGTGCTTCTTGGCCTTGAGGAATACTATGAGGGTCTACGGCCGCAGGTGCTAACTCAAGAGTAGTGTGGGTGGGGGGCAGGAGGTGGACAGGGGCAGAATGCACCCAGAGCCCCTCAGCCAGGCCAGGGCAGGCTTCCCAGAAGAGATAGTACCCAAACAAAGATGTGAAGGAAAATTAGGAATCGGGCCATTAAAAGTCATTTTAAAATCTGGAAACCCCAGAAAAAGCAGCCTCTAAATTCCCCTCCTTTGATCCTAGGGCATTACTGTAGAGCAGGTGTGTCTGCATGGCCTCTCTGATTGGCCCCACCAGGCTTCTGCCATCTTATGTTTGTGGTGGCAATAGCCCAACTCAGGGGCTGCTGTTCCCCACAGTGCTCTGTTCTGGCTGTGTGAGTTCCAGGACTGCTTCTTCCCCTTCCCCCCAAATATGACCCATCCTCCTTCTCCAACGCTCCAACCTGTTCTTTATACCTGGGAGTCAGCCTCTCTCCTGAGCCTCGAGAAGCTTTAGCTCTGGGTCTTTGCTACTGTGGTGGCCTCTGTACAGCACTGTGCCTCCTTCCCTTCTCTCAACGACACATTAGTCTGAGCTCAACAGTGCAGGGTCCAATCTGTGTCATTTCTGTGCAGAAATGGTGTGTGGGTGGAGGTCATCCTTCTCCCCAAGTCAACCTTAAAGTCCCTGTTTCAAAATGGCTAAATCTGCATGGACTCCAAGAACAAGAACTCACGCTCTGCAGGCAGCTCCACTGGGGCAACAATCCTTCTTACACTGACTCGAAGCTCTTTTCCTGACACCTCCAGCCCAGGCCCAGCTCGGGCCTCAGGGCCCTGCCAGTTGGTATGTTCACCCTCCATAAGTCCTCTGAGACAGTGGTCATGGCCATCCTGGGCCTGTCGTCCCAGATCTTCCCACATGTTTTCTACTCCCCTCGCCAACATCTTCACTCTACATGAACTCTAGTCTGCTATTCTTCCCAGGGTGGAGCCCACGGCGGATGTAAAACTCCAGGTCAGGGCTACTCAGAACAGCACAGGGCAAGGCCAGCCCTTTCCTGGTCCGGGCGCCATGTTCCTATGGGGGCAGCTGGGCCACAGCATTCCAGCCAAGCTGACTATCAGGTCCCTAGGGCGTAGCCAGCAGGTACTGGTACAGGTATTTCAGGGGATCAAAGTGCAGGAACTCACATTTGTCCTTAGTCATGTCATTACAGTTATTCCAGCTTGTCGAGATCTTCCAGGATTGTCGGGGCCGCCAGGAACAGGAGCTGAGCATGGAGGAGTGAGCTCGTACCCTTAGCCTTGAGCGATGAAGGTGCGAGACTGGCTTCTGCTCGCAGTGCGAAAGCAAGTGGGCCTCACCTTCACTCAGCAAGGAATTATAGCTCTGGGAGTGGGTGTCACCCTATGGGGCTGGGCTACCCCCCTGAAACCCAATCCCTTGCCTCATTTGGGTGTCTTCCCCTCAATAAATAGGGTTTCAGACCGAGGAGTAGGATCAGCTAGGGTCAAAAGGTGGTTCCATTCCCAGTTTTTCAAGGAATCTCCATGTTGCTTTCCATATTGGCTGCACCATTTTGCAGTCCCACCAGCACTGTATGAGTGTGCCTTTTCCCCACATCCTCGCCAACACTTGTTGTTGTTTGTATTCTTAATAGCTGCCATTCTGACTGGAGTGAGATAAAGTCTTAGAGTAGTTTTGATTTACATATCTCTAATTGCTAGAGATTTAAAAACAGCATACACAGCCACATCAGTGTTTATTGTAGCACAATTCACAATAACTAAACTGTGGAACCAACCTTGATGCCCTTCAGTAATGAATGGGTAAAGAAAATGTGGTAAATATACACAATGTGGTAAATATACACAATTCTCAGCATTAAAAGAGAATAAAATCTGCAGGTAAATGGATGGAGTTGGAGAATATAGTGCTAAGTGAAGTTAGCCAATTCCCCAAAACCAAATGCCAAATTTTTTCTGTGACATAAGGAGGCTGATTCATAGTGGAATTGGGAGGGGGAGCATGGGAGGAATAGACAACCTCTAGATAGGGCATGGTGGGGGGAAGAAAGGGTCAAGGGAGTAAAAGAAAATGGTGGAATGAGATGGACATCATTACCCTAAGTACATATATGAAGACACGAATGGTGTGAATATACTTTGTATACAACCAGAGATATGAAAAGCTGTGCTCTATATGTGTAATATGAATTGTAGTGTATTCCGCTATCATATATAACAAATTAGAATAAAAATTTTAAAATAAGTAAATAAATAGGGTTTCGGCATGCTGTCTCTCTTTTGCCAGCCTCCCTTGCCTTCTCTGTGGGAGCTGGGGCCGAGGAGCCATCACTGAACCCCAAGAAAAAGGTACTTTCTGTGTCTGTGTGATTATTCAGCCCAATTCACCAGGAGTGACCTTGACTACAGCATGGTGGATCCTGAGACAATCAAGTAAGTTAGTTCTCCTGCTCAGTTTTGTGTCACCATCCACAGCCACCTCTGATGCATATGCCCACATTTGGCACATCAATACTCATATTTGACTTAGTGATAAAAGTCAAGGAGGAGGGTGCCACACGTCATGCCCCGAGGCCCTGAGCCATGTCTGTCTTACGGCCCTTAGGGTCAGCTGCACAAAGATTCACCAAAGCACAGTATGGTTGTGCTGCATCAGCCATATTCCCCAAAGGGGCCAATGAATATGTCACCAGGGTCTTTTAAATCCAATCCAAGTCCATCTACCTCCACGTGCCTGCATAGTAACTGCTGGTTTCCTAAGGCTGCTAAAATGACTTGCCACAAACCAGTGGCTTAAAATTAGGCGAAGTTATCATTTTGCAGTTCTGGAGGTCGGAAGTCTGAAAAGGGTTTGGGACTTAAATCAGGATGTTAGCAGGGCTGCTTTCCTTCTGGAGGCTCCGGGAGAGAACCTTTCCTTGGAATTTCTAGCTTCTGGAGGCGGTCCACATATCCTGGCTCAGGGCCCCTTCCTCTCTCATGATCACATCACTCTGATCTCTGCTTCCATTACCATCATCTCTCATCTTCCTGCCTCCCTCTGATAAGGAGGGAGATTATATTAGGGCCCAATCAGTAATCTAGGATCCTCTCCCATGTCAAGATCCTTAAATTTCTCATACCATGGAAGGCAATGCATTAATAGATTCCAGGGATGAAGACAGGGACATCTTGGTGTGGGCGATATCATTCAGTCAACGAAATAAACAAATAAATAGATAAGTAGATAAATAAATAAAGGAAGAACAAGCCACATACCTGCCTCAATTGTAAAAGAAGTTTTTTCCTCTGAACTTTGAGAGAAATATTCTTCAAACGTAATTTATCCCTCAAATTATCCTAACAAACAAACACAAAGCATAAGTTAATGAATTTCTTTTCTGTTGTTTTGACAAGTAGACCTAGGGGTGCAAACCAAACCTGAACCCTAACGTTTAGTGGTTTATTTTCAGATCTCTCTATTTCTGCCCAAGAAAGCCATGTGATGGCATTTCACTTACGATCAAGATGCAGAGAAAACTGGGTCTGCCCCATGTGAATTTTACAATGCTTTTAAATTCAAGACTACTTGGATGTGGTATAGGGGACTTTCCTGACAAAATGATCTCATGATTCATGTTGGTCGTATATTCTTCTGATAGCTATTACTCATAGCATGTTAGAGTTACCAAGCTGATCTAACTGTCCCCAGGGCCCAAATCTTGCCATGCTATAAAATCTCCAGAAATGAACACATTATGTGCTCCCACATTCTCTTTCCATTCCCATGCCAGCCTGGGGTCCATTTCCTAATAGTAAGGACACCCAAAGAGCTTGAGATTGACCTGTCCCACTCCATGTAGTCACCTGACTAGCCCAGCCCCACACCTCTTCAAGAAAATACATTAGATCTTGAAACAAATAGGAACAACAGAAAAGAGGAAGTTGGCTGGGTATGGTGATGCACACCTGTAATCCCAGTGGTTTGGGAGGCTGAAGCTGGAGAATCACAGGTTTGAGGCTAGCCTCAGCAACTTAGCGAGACCCTGTCTCAAAATAAAAAATAAAAAGGGCTGGGGATGTGGCTCAGTGGGTTCAATCTCTGGTATAAAAAAGAAAAAAAAAAGTCAGTCTGATATTCTGCCAATATTCATCCTGCCTTACTGGCTTTAGCCTAGATAAAAATGCATTCTAAAACACACCACACCACACACACACACACACACACACACACTCTCTCTCTCTCTCTCTCTCTCTCTCTCTCTCTTCATGGGATGTGAAAACCATGCATATGTGGGCAACATATACAAAGTTAGGCAGCCCCACAGGCATAATTTGTGTCATTCTATGAATCCATTCTCCCTTTGGAAGCTCTAACCCCAGCCAACTCACCCGCCGGTGGTTCATGTCCTCGATGTACTTCAACACTTTCTCAGTGGCCAAAATACTCCCTTTCTTCTTGGATATGGTTCTTAGAATATCTTTTTCAAAGTCATGCACTGCTCTCTGGACTTCAGTCCACCGAATATCAGCTTCCTCGATGATAGCCTGGGCAAGGCAGCACAAGAGAGGAGAGTTTCCAAAGCTTCTCAAAGATAAATCCTCTGAGGATACCCAAGTCTTTGTCCCCAGGCCACATGCCTCTTAGTTTTAGAGCTCTCCTAAGGTATAAACCTGACTATATAAGTATTAATATTAAAAAGCTTGCTTTGGAAAAGTGATAGTATCCATAAAAAGTGAGCAATCAAAAATGAGGTCTCAGATATAAGTATGTATTTCCATATCTGAAATATTATGCAACCATTAAAAATTATGTCATGTGGAAAATATCTGAGAGGATACACAGCAAAACCAGAACCCAGTTAAATCTAAACAGATGAAGTAGTGAAATAATGAAGCATTCTTATTATACACTTATGTAACTTGAAAAAAAAGATGTTACCAGTGATGGGAAGTAATATGCCATATACATATAATATGTCAGAATATGCTCTACTGTCATGTGTACCTAAAAAAAATAAAAAAGTTTTAAAAGATGTTATCAATGAATCTATATCTATATATAGATATGCATTAGAGAGCCCCCGCTTATCTACATTTTCATTTTCTACAACCTAACCATCTGAAAGCATTAAATGGAAAATTTCTGAAATAAGTAATTCATAAGTTGCAAATTGTGCACCATCCTGAATAGCATGATGAAATCTCATGCTGCCCCTCTCTGTCCTGACTGGGACATGCATATCCCTTTGTCCAGTGTACCTTTCTATAATATGCTACTTGGCCATCAGTCACTTAGGAGCCACCTCAGATCAGCTGTGGTGGCACTGCAGGGCTTGCATTCAAGTGATCCTTATTTTATTTAATTAGGGCCCCAAAGAGCAAGAGTAATGATGCTGGGACAATTTTATTACTGTTTATTGTTATAATTGTTCTGTTTTATTATTAGTTACTGTTAATCTCTTACTGTGCCTAATTTATGAATTAAACTATATCATAAGATGTATACAGAGGAAAAAACATGGTACATATAGGGCTTGATACTATCCAAGGCAGCAGAAATTCACTGGATGTCTTGGAACACATCCTCTGAAGATAAAGGGGAACTATGGAATATTGATGTGGAAAGATATTGTTAAAAAAAAGATACAATTCACAAAACAATGATCCTTTTAAAAAAAGAAATTCATATATGCATAGGAAATGATCTAAACTCCAGAAGTAGATAAATTCAGTGGTCAACCATAATGGCTTCTGGTTGGAGGTACCATTGTGAATGTTTTCAATTTAAAATGCTGTATAACAAATATGGATTGCCTTGGAATAAACACACACATAATTTTTAAAATTATTATTATTTTTAGTTGTTGATAAACCTTTATTTTATTTATTTATACGTGGTGCTGAGAATCGAACCCAGTGCCTCACACTAGGTAAGCACTCTACCACCACTGGCTACAACCCTGGGCCCCCACACACATAATTTTAAAGCATAAAATGAGAAAGTATCTATGGTCTCACTGCAAATCATTCCAGTTCAGGACTCTCCCCATGGCACTATTGCAAATTTTTAAGGGCATGTATGGTTATTGTGGTTACATTTTTAAAAAATCCATATCCTAGTGACATATCTAAAATATTTAGAGATAAATGGTATGTCTAGGATTCTCTGCATAACAGCCCAGTGGGGTGAGGGGGAAACAGTTGGGACATTGATGATCCAAGAGTGGCCATATGTTGGCATTTGCTGCATCTGAGTGTTGAGTCCATAGGGATTTGTGGTGTTAATTCTCTACATTTGAGTACATTTGAAATTTTCCATTTAAAATGCTTTAGATTTTGTTGTTGCCTCAAGCAAGTGGTAAGTTCTTTAAAGACCTGCTCTCAATCTGTCTTATCCTACTTCTGTTTCTTTCAAAGCATCAATAATAACACAGACACACCACAGGAACTTCTTGACCAGGTGGAAATGGGAGTCCAAATAGGTTAATGAGACTGAGAGGAGGGTCACCTCGTGGTACTGCAGGTCCCGCTCAGCATTTGCCTTCATGTGCCTCAACTCGTCCTTCATGTCTTCCAGCTCCTTTTGCACAAGGTCAAGTTTTTGTTCAACACTGAGGCTTATCATACGGTCACCTGCCCGGGGTTTGGATTTACGCCTGCTCCGTAACTGCAACCCAACAAAACCAAAGCCACTGTCAAAGAGGTGGGCATCAACATGATTCTTCAGAACTGCTAGAACTTATCCCAAAGGAGAGCCAGGGGAAACAAACTCATGGTGAAAGGATTCTGGATATTTGGCCAGAGGTGGCATTTATTTCACAAGTCAGCCTAAGATCCTATGCTAGTTTCCTTGAAGACCCATGTTTGACAATGAATTAAAAATTAGTAACTGAAAACTTCTTGCAGGTGAAAGACTGTGAATCACTGTAGACTAGAATTTAAATCAAGATCAGGAGAAGGCTGGAACTCAGCGCTTCCTAAACTGAACACAAAGAGAAACTGCATCCAGGGGCACAGTGTTCAGCAAAACAGACAAATAAATCAAAGTCTTGGATTTCCTAGACATTTAAGGCAAAGGTCACAAGTAAGTGATCCAGGTAATCTTGGGCCTCAAAGTAACTTTATTTGATTTTCAAAGGATTAAACCTACAGATAGGCCCTCTGAGACAAGGGCTACCAGCAGGTCTTCTACGGCTGAATCCTCCAATTTAAGGGATTTCTTTCAAATAAAATAAGATGTTCTGGGAGAGTTAATTCACCACTAATTGAACCTGACTCCCTTCGCATTGATTTGAAATAGAAACTCTGGCACACCACAGGTAGAAACACAAATACCACCTGCATATAAGGGGACAGATAGGATAAAGTACAGTTCAGATCTCTATTAGGTACCTGTGCAAATTCTGCTGCTGTTATTTTAACATCTGAAATTCGCAGAGGTCGGTATTCCCTAGACTCCAGTTTACAGCAATATTTCTCAAACATCTCTGTCTCCGTTTTGAGAGCAGAGTTTCCATAGCTGCAAGACAGTGGGTTACTGAAGTTAAGTTCTAATCGGAGTTTAAACGCCAAATAACCAATAACATTTATTGGCCACGTGTGCAAGACATGCCGCCGCTTGGTATCTTATTTCTCTCACCTATAAAAAGGAAATAAGAATTGCATCTCCCTGTTAGTGTCGCAACAAGGAATGCAAAGATTTTAAGACAGTTGCTGGCCACATTCAAGTGCTGTTTAAGGCTCAGATATCTTTATTATTATGTTTAATGAGCCCCAAAAGTCGCAACACTGGTATTATATTGAAAATTGTTGTACTGGTTTTATCTTCAAGTGTCATCTAACTCATTTGTGAAATTCCTTCAGAATCACTATTTTTTTTTGAAACTACACATATTCACCAACTCCAGGTGTTTCCTTTGGTTTATATTTCTCAACTCTTTTATTTCTAGCACCCAATAGATGAAAGAATCTGCTGGAAGTTTATCATAAATTGTGAAAAACTTTGAACAATATCTTTTTAAACAACTAGAGATGACAAATTTACTTTAGCTTCGTGTGCATAATGCATATATATTTTATATATGCATGAGTGAGAATGGCTTTGATGTTTTCATATGTTACTGAGATAATTCCTGTTAGTCTGAATTTTAAGATTAGTGGAGAAGGTTGACTAGAAAACACAAAATACCAAAATGTCTAGCTTTCTCAGCATATATCACATTCCCAGTATAGCCTGTGGAATTGTCCCTGAATCTGAATCCCAGCATGAGTACTCTCAAGCTGTGTGAATTTAGGAAAGTGCCTTAAATTTGTGTGCCTCCTAGGATTGCTGTGTCATTATATAAGGTCATATATGCAAAATACACAGCACATAATAACACTCAAAAATTGTTGCTCTTGGTAATAAGGCCTCAATTCTGGCCTAAACTATTTATAGATGCATAGAAATAACATCTGTTCAACTTCCAGAGTCAGGATATTCTGTGCAAAATCAGTAAGTTGTGCGATGTACCTTAACTACGTCATAGAATCATGATATTCCATTTACTTACTAGAGCAGATATAAAACAGACTGCTACAAACCTACTGGGCCTGTCGTTCTTTTCAGTCTACCTCCATACTTACTCTCTTGTTCAAGCCCAGGTTGCCTCACAGCAAAATCATTTGGACAGCTTCCTTCTGTCCTGCTTCCATATTGATTGTACCATAGAATCTTAGCATTGGAAAGCCTTTTCTGGTGCAGAACAGGGGAGCAGTTAGGCACACAATCTGGCACTAAGCAGACACCAGGCGAAACTCCAACGTCACCAATGACCCTCTGGGCTCCCCCCCCCTCCAGGCCCTGCCCCTTCGCGCCTTCACCAGGTCCTGGCAACAGCTTGTCAGCTCAGTGGCAACGGAGACTCAGGACACCCACTTTGGGGGTCTTGGACTTCCCAGCGTTCAGTGTGGGCTTGGATGGTCTCCAGGCTGGAGCCAAGGTCCGAGGCCACTCGGCAGGGGATCCACCGTACCGAGAAGCGGCCAGCAACAGCCGACAAGGGGTACCTGAGCTCCTCCACCAGCCCGCACAGCTGGATAACAGGAAGCTCGCTGTCCTCTCCCGTCTGGGAATCGGTGTGGACGCTCTCAGAGTCCTCGTCAGTCATCGCTGTACCCAAGCGGCCCTTGCCAGTGCCGAGTGTGCCCAGGAGCGCCGGACGCCAGCCGCCACGCGTCACTCAGGCTGCTACTCAGTGGAGCGTTGCCTGGGCGACCGGACGCCGGCAGAGGGGCGGGGCTGCGGAAGGCCCCGCCCAGTGCTCCTCGGCCTGTCACCGCGCTGACCTGAGCCAAGTTCCGGGCCTTCTCAGCCACCTAAGCGCATTTAGTTTCTTTCTTTCTTTTTATTTTTTAACAATAGCTTTTAAATTGACAGTCATACTAGCAGCTACCCTTGCTCAGCACTTCCTATGTTTTTGGCCCTGTGTGAAAGCACAGTTTATGAAAATCCTTGCATCAACCCTGTGATATTATTTTATTCTGCCTATTCTTCAAAACAGGTTCTTGAGATCCAGGCAGTTAAAACATTTTGTCTGTCTTTCCCCACGAGGCCCATACCCTGCTCACCACCTGCTGTTTCATGCATGCTAGCTGCAGTTTCTCTTAGATATCAACATCTTCGTATAAATTCAAGAAACATGACTAAATAGGCACTAATCTCTGCTGAGTCCTGAGTACCCAGGGGGAATACGCGGAAAAGATTCTGGCCCTCGAAGGGTTTCTGGTTAATTGAGGAAAATGGCCCCTAAACAAGCCAATGCAGCCTGTTTGACTTGGTTGATCACTGTAGCAACATACTTAACACAATTGTCTACTTAGAAGTGGTTAAATGGCAATTTCATATTTTGTTATTTTAAACCACAATTTAAAAAAAAGTAAAGCAGTGAAACCAAATGTGAACTTCAGGATGTAGTATTTTGGTTGGGTATCTGCAAATTTTAATTAATATATGTAATATGTGACAAAAATTGAATATCTTTTTTTTTTTGGGGGGGGGTACTAGGGATTGAACTCAGGGGCACTTGATCACTGAGCCATTCCCAGCCCCATTTTGTATTTTATTTAGAGACAGGGTCTCACTGAGTTGCTTAGTGTCTTGCTTTGACTGAGGCTGGCTTTGAACTTGTGATCCTCCTGCCTCAGCCTCCTGAGCCACTGGGATTACAGGCGTGCACCACTGCGCCCCTCTGAATAATATTTTTAAAACTGAAATTTGTTTTTTGTGTTGGTTTGGAAGGGCAGCCTGCCGACACCTTGGTTTTAGCTCCTTGAAATCCACTTTGGAATTCTGGCCTCTGGAACTATAAGGGAATAAATTTGTGTACTTTTAAGCCACTAAGTTTGTGGCAATAGGTTACAACAGTCACATGAAACTAATGGAACTTATAAATAAACAAAAGAGATAAAATAGAATTACATATTTAAAAAACATCCAATTCATCCAAAAGAAAACAAAAAAGGAAAGCGGAAATATGAAAGAACCAAGAAAAACACAAGCAACAAAGAAAAAAAATAGATGAATCGAACTCTTCAAAATTAAAAATCCTTGTGCTCCAAAGAACACTATTAAGAAACTGAAAGGGGGCTGGGATTGTGGCTCAGTGGTAGAGCGTTCTTCTAGCACGGGTGGGACCCGGGTTCAAATCTCAGCACCACATGAAAATAAAGGCATTGAGTATCCATCTACACCTAAAAAATAAATATTAAAAAGAAAAAAGAAACTGAAAGGAGAATCCATGGAGTGAGAGAAAAAAATTTTCAAGTCATCTATCTGATGAGGGATTTGTATTTGGAATATATAAATGACCATTATTATGACTTAAAAAATAAAAACAAATTTAGCAAATTCCTAAATTATAATGGAAGTATAAAATGATACGACTTCTTTGGAGAGCAGTTTGGTAAATCCATATGACCCAACAATTCTACTCCTGGTATCTAGCCAAGAGTAATAGAAACATACATTCATGTATGAACTTTAACATGAATGTTCATAGCAGCATAATCCATAATTGAAGGATGGAAATAACTCAAATGCCCATCAAGTGATGAATAGACCAACAAAAGTGGTATGTCTATGCAATGGAATACTATTTTGCAATAAAAACATTATGCTAAGTGAAAGAAGCAAATTGCCGGAGACCATACATTATATGATTCCGTTTATAAGAATTACCCAAGATAAGAAAATACATGCAGGAAAAGTAGATCCATGATTACTTAGGGATGGGGCAGTAGAGATGAGGGTTGAGGAGTGGTTGCTAAGTCATGTAGAGTTTCTTTTGAGGTAAGAAAAAGCATTCTAAAATTAACTGTGGTGATGGTTGTACAACTTTTGAACATACTAAAAGCCATTGAATTGTATGGTTTGGGTGAATTTTAAAACATGTGAATTATATCTCAATAAAGCTGTTTTTTTTTAAAGAGAGAGAGAGAGAATTTTAATATTTATTTTTTAGTTTTCGGCGGACATACATCTTTGTTTGTATGTAGTGCTGAGGATCGAACTCGGGCCGCAGGCATGCCAGGCGAGTGTGCTACCACTTGAGCCACATCCCCAGCCCCAAAATAAAGCTGTTTTTTTAAAAAAGAACAAGTAGGGGCTGGGAGTGTAACTCAGTGGTAGAGTACTTGTATAGCATGCTCAGGGCCCAGGTTTGATCCCCAGCACAGTACAGTAGTAGTAGTAGTAGTAGTAGTAGTAGTAGTAGTAATAGTAATGGCTGGGGCTGTAGCTCAGTGGCAGAGAGCTTGCCTAGCACATGTGAGGGTTTGATCCTCAGCACCACATAAAAAAATTCTTTTTTTTTTTTGTGTGTGTCCATCTACAATTAAAAATAATATTTAAAAAAGCAAAACCTAACTATATGCTGTCTATAAGAAATGCACTTTAATTATAAAGATGCAAATAGGTAAAAGTAAAAGAGTGGGACCCAGGTGCAGTGGTAGATGCCTGTAGTCCCAGATACTCAGGAGACAGGAGGATTGCTTGAGCCCAGGAGTTTGAGGTCAGCCTGGACAATATATCAAGACCCTGCCCACCTCAAAAAAAAGTAAGAGTGGAAAAAGATATACCATACAAATACTAATCAGAAGAAAGTTGAAGTAGCCATGTTAATATCAGACCTGGTAGATTTCAGATCAAAGAATGTTACCTGTGATAAAGAGGGTCATTTATAACAAATAAGGGTTCCATAAATATTCATGCACCTACTGAGAGAGCTTCAAAATACATGGAGCAAAAATTAGTAGTACTGCAAGAAGAAATAGACAAGCAGACAATTGCACAATTAAAGATTTCAAAAACATCACTGCCAATCTCTCAGTAATTAATAGAGCAGGTAAACATAAAAATCAATGGGAAATAGAAGACAATGTGCAGCTTTATTAACCAGCTCACTCTAATATCTATAGAACACTCTACTCTTCAACAGCAGAATTCATATTTTTTTCAAGTACACACAGGGCACTTACTTAGAAGATCATATTCACAAAATGACAAATTTCAATAAATTTAAAAGAATTGAAATCATACACAGAATGTGCTCTCACACCCATGAAGTTAAATTAGAAATTAATAACAGAAAGATATCTGGAAAACCTCCTAATATTTGGAAACAACACACTCAAATCATATATGAATTAGAAAGGACATCAATAAAGAAATTAAGAAACAATTTCAATTGAATAAAAAGGAAACCCAATCTAGCATTAAAGTGCCAGAAAAAAAGAAAGGACAGCCAGTCAGCCTTATATCAATGACCTCAAGCTTCTATCTTAAAAAATTTGAAAGGGGAAATAGAAAAAGAAGATGTACAGCAGTGTGAATGTAGTTAATGTCACAAAACTATACACTTTAAAATGGTTAGAATGGTAAAATTTTCGCATATTTTACCACAATTATTAATAGGAATTAGAAAAGGAAGGGCAAACAAAAACCAAAGTAAATAAGAAGTAGTAGACATCAAAGGGGGAATCAATGAAATATTTTAAAGACATGGAAAAAAAATCAGTGAAAACAAATTTTTTTTTTTTTTTTTGCAATTAGTAAACAAACCCCTAACCAGGATGATCAGAAAAAAGGAGAGCAAATTATCAATAGGAATGAGAGAGGAGACATTCCTCTAGGTTCTAAGATATTAAAAGAATAATAAGAAAATATTTTTTAAAAACTTTAAGTCAATAAACTTGACAACTTAGATGAAATAGATAAATTTCTTGAAGGACACAAATTTCCAAAGAGATGAATAACCTGATAGCCTTATAACTACTTAAAAACTGATTTTATAGTTTTAAAAAACTTCAAAAACAAACAACACAAAAAAAGACCCACACACCTCCAGGCTCAGATAGCTTCACTTGGGAATTCTACCAAACAAGTAAAGAAGATAAAACTGATTTATGCAAATTCTTCTGAAATAATAGAAGAGGAAGAAATACTCCTTAACTTATTCTAGTAGATGTACATTACTCTGATACCCAAAGTGAACAAAGGCATAACAAAAAGAGAAAGTTACACATAAATATCCCTCATGAACATAGACATAATTTTTTTTAAATTTTAACAAATAGAATCAAACTATATATAAAAAGATAATATATCATGATCAAGTGGTATATATATCCTAGGAATACAAAGTTGTTTTAACATTAAAGTTAATAAGTGTAATTCTCCACATTGACAGACAAAAAAGAAAAAAATATATAATCATTTTTATACATGTATAAAGATTTTAATGAAATTAATATCCATTTCTGTTTTTTTTTTAAAAATGTCAGCAAACTAAGAATAGAGGGGAAGCTTCCTCACTCTGACAAATAACACATTAAAAAGAAAGAAAAAAGGAAAAAAAAACTTTAACATCTCATTTAATGGTAATAGATGAATTTTTTCCTCCTAAAATAAAAATAAGAGACCAGAATGTCCACTTTTACTACTTTACTTTTTCAATAATGTACAGGAAGTTTCTAGATAGTGTAATAAGATAAGAAAAATAAATAAAAGATGCCCCCATCAGAAATGAAGAAATGAAACAATATTTATTAAGAAACTACATGATTATATGTATAGAAAATCCAATGAATTGTACTGAAAAATCTACCAGAA